ATGAAGATCGGACCTCTCTCATTTAACGGAACATTACCTAGCTTTGCTTTTGTTCACGCTACCTTGAAGCTTCCAACCCAGTTCGTCTGGGCTGGACGCCCTTGCCAGTGGGGAAGTTCCTCCTCTCCTCTCCACGTGTGGCCTAGTGAAAAGGTGTGCTCGACAGTCTGGAACTCCTAGCCCAGGGAATGAACTCCACGGGAATTCTTGTTACCAGTGGCAGTCTCCAGCCGCGGCTCCTCAAAGCCACCTCCAGAATACAAGTGCGAACGCGAAGAGGGTTTAGTACGTGGCCAAGTCTACCACTGACCTCCAGGCCTTGACCGGGGGTGCTCGAGATCGCTTGCTGGTCCAATCGCTGATCGTCAACCAGCTTCCACCCAGCCGGGGTAGTCCGGGGTAGGGATGAGCAAAAATGGCTTTGAGAGTTCAATTGACTCAGTTTGTTTTGCCCCGTTATTGGAGCCCAGGCTGGTGGACCTAGGGTCATCTTGGTTCCGTTTAGATTTTCCCCATATCAGTTTCCAGGGACCCTCGTTTGTACCAAGTACCTGGGGTGCCCCTCGCTATTTTTTCTTTCTCTACCACCTGTTCTCTTCCCTTCTCTATTCTCACTTGCAAAAACCCCTCAAGTGCTCTTGACAACACCCTCTTCCCTTCCCCCATTCCACACGCCTCTGTGCTCACTTGTGAAACATCACCTCGACCGCCAATAGATTCACCATGGCGACCACCACCACCCATACCCAGCCCAAGAGGAAGTCTTCCACCGCTGGACTGGCAACTGGAGGGAGGACCGTCAAGCGAAGGGCTTCTAAAGCCTGCCACTGTTGTCGTGGGAGAAAAGTGCGTTGTGATGTGGTCGAGAGTGGAATTCCGTGCACGAACTGCCGACTCGACGAGGTCGAGTGCGTGGTCACTGAAGGAAAACGTCGGAGGAAATCCTATGCCGACGGCGAGCTCTTTCACCAGTCTCCCTGCAATTCGATAGAAGAGGAGAAGGAAATTCCACAATTTCCCATCTTTGACGACATCGATGAGCTGAACAACTTTGTCCCGACTTTGCCCAAGTCCGAGCCAACCCATCCCCAGCTAGCCCTGGACGATGAGATGGTCCATCACAAACCCCATATGCTTTGTAAGTCTTCTCCTTCCTCTAAGCTTGGTTTCCCACGCTGATGGAGCATCTGTCTAGACCAGACACAGAGTCGCCGCTTGAGCCAGGATGATCGTTTCCGGCGAATGTCGACAGTCGGCACCAACCACCTTTCTCCGCCCCTCCTCTCCCCAGCAATGTCCTATTTCCTCCAGCAAACGAACCGGGTGAATATTGTCCTGCCGCCCTATTTGCAACCCATATCTCCCCGGATCATGAGCGAAGATTTGGAGTATCTGCAGAAGAAGGCAGCGTTTTTGATCCCCGAGACAGGCTTCCGCAACGAACTGCTTCGCTGCTACGTCCAATACGTGCATCCCTTCCTCCCCATCGTCGACCTGCAGGACTTTTTGACCGCCATCGAAAGGAACCAGCCCACCAACACCGTGAGCCTGTTGCTCTTCCAGGCCGTCATGTTTGCCGCAACCGCATACATTGACATGCGCTATCTTATAGCCCAGGGTTACATGACCCGGAAAGCTGCCAGGAAATCCTTCTTCCAGCGAGTCAAGCTCCTGTACGATTTTGACTACGAAGTCGATCGAGTCACGGTTGTGCAGGCTGTCTTGCTGATGACATACTGGTACGAGAATCCTGATGACCCAAAGGATGTGTGGCACTGGCTGGGTGTGGCCATCTCGGTGGCTCGAACCATCGGCCTCAATTGTGATACGTCGAACGCTTCGCTCATGACCTTGCAACAGCGCCGCCTCTGGAAGCGCATCTGGTGGTCCTGTTACATGCGGGATCGATTGATCGCCATCGGGATGCGGCGTCCGATGCGCATAGGCACCGGGGATTTCGACGTGCCAATGCTCGAGGTTTCGGATTTTGAGACCGAGCCCTTGCCAGCCGATCTCAGTAGAATGCTCGGAGGCTGCCCTGCCGTGAGAGACACTGCGAAGCGCGTTACACTGGCCAAAATGTGTATCGGCCTTGCCGATCTCTGTATCCGCATCACCCAAGTTCTCGCGGTCCAATACTCTACACTGGGGCACAAGATTGGGGCAACTCAAGAGACTACAATGAGACTGGTTCCGAAGAAGTCAGCAGCAGACCCATGCGATGTGATCCGGTGTGATCGCGCACTCGACCAGTGGCACAAAGACCTTCCGCACGAGCTCCATTACTTTGCTCCGGATTCGCGCGAGCGGACAAGCACTAATGACGGCGAGGTCATTAACCTCCATCGAGCTCTGCTGACTGGAATCTACCTCACCGCCATCAGTGCATTGCATCGGCCACAAATACTCCCTTCGGCTCCAAATGTTGTGGTTGCCCCGGAGCTCCGAGAATTGTCGAGGAGGAAAGTTCGCGAGGCCGCCAACGATATTACCGAGATGTACAAAGAACTCTTTGCGCATGATTTGATACGATACCTCCCCAACACTGGGGTAACATGCCTGCTTCCTGCCATTATCATCCACCTCCTGGATATCAAATCCAGCGACTCCAATACCCGGCAAGCGAGCATTCGGAGATTCCAATTTTGCATGCAGGCCTTGCAAAGACTGCGTGAGATGTATGCTTCTGCGGATTTCGCCTTTTCCTTCCTCGATGCAGCAGTGCGTAAGACCAATGCCCAGGTCTATGCTGCTGCTACGGCCACACCTGGGACGAAATCGCCCTTCTCGACCAGCTCGACTGGACTGGACCAGAAGAAGTTTCTCCCAGGACCGCTGTTGCTCACGCCGCCTCCTGAGGCTATGCATACGGCGAGCTTGCTACTCATGAACTCGACGCTGGCTCCGGAAGAGCGAAATCTCATTGCTGCGTACACGCCACCAGAGTCGGATATGAGCTTGAACCACCATCAGACCGCGGACGAAGCACTGACCAAATCGGCGGACATGAATATCGAACAGAACCTAGGGTTTAATTGTACCATGGATGAGGATCCGACACACGCTGGTTTTGAGACTCTTGTCGATTTGGAAGGAGGCACTGATTTGTTTTCCACTGTCGAAGATGGCCTGGATTTGAATATGCAGTGGCTTCAGGGATTCGATGCAGATAATCACACTCCTAACTCTGGAGAGTTCGCCTTGGAGACGATTGAAGAGGTAGACGAGCAGCGGAACCAGTGCGGTTATGCAGAACAGCCACTGGACGCCACCGACGAGCTTGTACTTGGTCTGGCCATTCAGGGTGAGGCTTGAGATTTTGCGATGCGTATGGAATGGTATATATAAAACGTGACATTTGTGTGTCTTCTTGAATCAGTACAACAGGATGATTGAGGACAGAATGAGGCTGGATATCGCTTCACCGTTACCAGAGCTGAGGTAGATGTTGAGGTGGCATGCAGATCATTGGTTTGTTTAGAAGCGAATCAAGTGACAAAATCTGCCTGCGGCTAATTACCCTTTCTATTCTCTTCACTTCTTCGTCGTGCCCTCGCAATCTCCTCCACACAAATAGTCTTATTTCGTCTTTCATATCAATTGTCCATCCCATGTCCTCTTGTACTCGCTGCTTGGAGAAGTACTCAATAGCCGTCTGGGCCTCCGATACCCCACCTCAAGCTTAGAAGAATCCGCCCCCGCCAGTTGATCGGCAGTGGCCCGTTCGACCTCTACCCTGCAATGTCACATTGAAAAACCATGACCAGTGGCAAACGCGATAAGAGAGCTCGCCTTGCCAAAAACCCTTCGAACTCGGCCTCCTCCGCAGTCAGCCGACCCATTTGACGAGGATACCCTCCAATCACACCAAAACGACGTGAAAGCCGTCTACCTGGATGGGTAGTGTATGCACGCAACTGGTCTAGGGACCTAGCATACTGGCCCTCCTCCATTCTCCGTCACTATCCGCTGTGTCCTGCGCCAAGTCATGGAAGCTTCGAAGCTTTCGAAGCTCTGCCACGCAATGCTTGTTCATTGCTGTTTGCACTGTCACACAAGAAGTCTACCGTGCCCGCATCCTCGGGCAAGCGATGGTTAAAAGATGTTTTACAGGGTAACACGCCGTTGCGCAGCTCCGAAGGGTCTTCCAATGATTTCTGGAAGATCGGTGCACAAGTAGCGAAAGCCCAGAGGGATCGTGTGATTGGAGGTCGGTTGTCTCGAAGCTTTGGCGAGGAATATTGTCTGCATAAACCATACTGGCTGTTCCCTGTCGTGCCTGGCCACATTGACCAAGTCACAGGCTGGGGATCTACCACCATCCTGATGCAGAATTCCCCGAGAGGTGCAATCTTATCGCAACCTAGCCCCATTGACTGGCAGAAGCTGTCATTCATGCATTTGCCGTAACATCCACTTGGGGACCTGCCTTATGTGGACCGGATCGCATATGGAAATGGACGCTCTCCCGTGGAATCAAGTCCTTTGACTGGACCGCTGCAGCTCGAGCTTCTCTACCCAGCGTCAGACTCCGTTTGTTCAGGGCCACCATAGCTAGGATCCCTGTCTCAATACTACTTCTTGTCATGCTTAACGTCATCGAATTATGGCCAATGCGTTCCTGGTGACTGAGTTGCAGCAAATCGCCTTCAAAGAGATCACACCTCGGGCGATTAACCAGCCATCTCTCACAGTCAGGTTCGAGCTAGTGAAGACACTAGAATGATTGCTACTCTTTGTGAGCGTGGAGTCCGTGCACATAGCAGTCAGATCGTGATCAGAGGTAGGTAAAGTGGTAAATCATCTGCTACTTAATGTTGTCGCGCGACCCCATTCCTCTCTCCCTCCCTCACGCAGCTGTCCGTGTCTGCTAGGTGGTGGTTGCTAAGTCACACAGCAGCTGTCGGTTTGAGGCCAAACTAAAGGGCAGCCTTCAACTGATCTCCCTTTCCCACGTTCGTGTCATTCTTCTACCTCTAGCGATTTGAATAACTATCGTGATGCACGGTGCAAAACTCTTCCTCGTCGGCGCTCTTGCCGCTGGTGTCTCGGCCGTTAAAGGACCTACCGTGCATAACAGAAGGGTTCCTGGGCCAAAGCTGCAGGTCTTGCCTCGACAATTACCAGCGGAGCCCACTGGAGTTAAGACAATTGTCACCCCGAATGGGATCAACATCACCTACAAGGAACCTGGCAAGGAGGGCGTCTGTGAGACAACCCCGGGCGTCAATTCATACGCAGGTTTTGTCAACCTTGCTCCCGATGTTCACAGCTTCTTCTGGTTCTTTGAGTCGAGGAACGACCCTGCCAATGATCCAATTACACTATGGCTCAACGGAGGTCCTGGAAGTGACTCTTTGATCGGAATGTTCCAAGGTGAGGGTGTTTCGAAAATCCAATCTGCCCCGGACCTATAGCTGACCACGTATTATAGAGCTTGGCCCGTGCAATGTCACTGAGAATCTGACCACGCACCTCAATCCCTACGCATGGAACGAGGCCTCGAACATGATCTTTCTCAGCCAGCCATTGGGTGTGGGTTTCTCATATGGCTCCAAGGTGAGGGCTCCTGGAGGAATATCACCACAAGAGATGGCACTGATGTCGATATAGGGCCCCGGCTCGCTGGATCCTAATTTCGGACAATTCGTTCCTCCGTCAGAGGCAAACGTCACGGGCCGATACCCAATAATCAACGCGACTGAGATTGGTGAGTAGGCATGGCTTGTTACAAACCCATATACTCACGACTGTGGTGTAGATACCACCGATCTTGCCGCGATCGCTGCATGGGAGGTGCTTCAAGGATTCTACGCAGCACTACCGCAGCTTGATTCTAAAGTCCAATCAACCAAATTCAACCTGTGGACGGAGTCCTATGGAGGTGAGAATAACGACGTCCATCTCAGTTACGAAACTGACCATACTGTAGGACATTATGGTCCTGCTTTCTTCAACTACTTTTATCATCAAAACGAAGCGATCCTTAATGGTACTCAAACCGGCAAATCCTTCGAGTTTGTGAACCTGGGAATCATGAATGGCATTGTAGACGAATACGTTCAAGCGCCCTACTACCCGATTTTTGCCAACAACAATACTTATGGCATCAAGGCTGTGAACGATACTGTCTATGACTATATGACTTTCGCCTGTTATATGAATGACGGATGCCTGGACCAGATCTCTTTCTGCGCCGAAGCCGACACGAGCACCCTCACAGGCCAAGCTGCCTGCAGCGAGGCCGAGGCCATGTGCCGGGATAGTGTCGAGTCACCTTACTACTACTATGGGGGCCGCGGAGTCTACGATATCCGTCACCCATACGACGACCCTACCCCACCCACCTACTTCATTGACTACCTCAACTTGGCCACGACACAACAAGCTCTAGGTGTCGACACAAACTACACGTCAGATGCCAATGATGAAGTGTACTACGCCTTCCAGCAGACGGGCGATTTCATCTACTTCAACTTCATTGACGATCTAGAAGAGATCCTTAATTCGTCCTCGGTGCGCGTGACGCTTGTGTATGGGGACGCGGACTACATTTGCAATTGGTTTGGCGGAGAAGCAGTGTCCCTAGCCGCCAAATGGCCTCACGCTGCTCAATTCAAGGCGGCGGGATATACGCCGTTCGTGGTGGATGGAGTCGAGTACGGCGAGACGCGCGAGTATGGCAACTTCTCTTTCACTCGCATTTATGAGTCGGGCCATGAGGTACCCTACTATCAGCCGATTGCTGCCTTGGGCTTCTTCACACGCGCGATCAATGGTTTGGACATGGCGACGGGTACGGTGCACGTGAACGGGACACAAGGGGGAACCAATGGCAGCGCACATGCCACTCATACCGAGAGCTTTGTGCCATTGCCAACCAGCTCGTCGAGCTCTGCAGCCTCGGCGGCGTCGTCGGTGCCCAAAGGTCCAGTGATCCCAGGGCGATTTGCGAGACGGGGATATTAACATGAGGAATGACGATGAATGTGTGTGACGGAGCTACGATGGGTCAATGGGAATTCGGTGTCATCGAACCGGATGAGCTTCGTTCGGCCTTTCGGCCTGAGGGGACGTGTCCACAACCACCTATTCAATGAATAATGAAAAAACTTCGACATCAAAAGTCTAGACGAACGTAGTCGTACCCTGGAGATTTGATACAACCGAGTACGGCCAACTCTCTATGTGTTCTGTAAACGACTCGTCATCTCCGCCTTTGCTTTCGACATAGATCGTATGTTTATGAGGGGAAGGGGAAAGCACAGTCAATTCCGCCAATGAGACGCGTTGAATCGCGGAGACAGAGGAAGCGAGAGGAGAGGGAGGAGGAGAGAGCTGAGACCGAGGAGATTCTGGGAGTTTGGGGAAGTTCGCGGACAACGAGCACCGAGCAGACCGAGGTAACTAGTTCCGGCGGCTGCTGGGTCGTGGGTTTGTGGGTAAGTATGAGGTATTTCATACCTACTTACTACTAGATAGGCAGTAAGTACCCAAGTACCTAAGTACTCGTACCCCATCGATACCTACTTGTGGAGAGCAAGAGCGGATATCCTTTTTTCACGAGCTAGCCACGTGTTTGTTTCTTGGGTATTACGACTCCGTCCCGTCTCAAGATCAGACATGTGGCTGTGGCTGTTGGCTGTGGGCTCCCTAAATTAAATTTGGGGCGGGAGGTGGAAAAGAAAAGGGGAAATGTAGAATGTGGAATGTACAATGTACGCCATATACCCGTGGTACCTTCCTGGGTGTACCACGCCCTTGAGGCACTATATTCTTTGTACTCGTATGAGGTATGTACTACACGGAGAACATATAGAGGAGTCATCGGCAGGTATATAGGTATATCTATATGTACGTAGGTGCCTGGGTTGAGAGAGAGCGCTACTCGATATACGCTGTACGAGTAGACGCATACAGAGGCTGGGCGGCGAGTGACAAAGTCCCCTGCATGTACCTCCCTCACAGCCCCGTGACTCTAGGCTATGGCTAGATAGCTCTTGCGTCCCTACCTCCCCCCTAAAAACGTATGTGGCTGTCAATGAGGCTCCAGGATCGGATCGAATCAGATGATAAGTCGATACTGTGACATCGGTGGAAGGGGGTTGGTTTCAATTGGGACCATTGGTGTGTCAGGAGGTGACGAGGCTTTTCTTTAGATCAGCGACCAAAAAAAAGGTAGGTCGGTCAGCCACAAAAGATGCAGACCAGCGGCGAAGGCTGGTTAGGAAATGAGAGGGAAGGGAAAGAGAGAGAAAAGACAGACAAGGGGGAATGAGGTGGTTCATTGGTGTTGGTGATGTCACTCAATGTCAGTGCCATGTCAAGCACGTCCAATCCAAGGCCACTTGTCACCAATCTCAACGTCTGCCGCCTGCCGCACCCCCGCCTCATCCACCTCATCTGCGGGGCCAGCCACGCAAAAACTTGGCCATCATCCTTGGAAAAATTGGGTCAGAAAGAGCTGCAACCGCCGATCAACCACGCCAGAAGTTTGTTTGACCTCGCAAATCGGCAAAGCCCAAGCAATGTGGGCACACGCATGGCTGTGGCTGGTGAGCACACAAGTTGCCACGGGCGCCCATCGGTAACATCGGTCGATGATCGAATGCATGTGGTCGACCACGGGTACGCCGTTCCGAACTCATTTTGTCATGGTGATACTAAGAAAGTATTGAGGCGGGCTGGTACACGCACCCATGGTAGCGTAGGTAGCTACTGCCTGCATTGCTGCAATCTGTTCATCGTACAGTACTTAGAGCGACCTCGGTCAGCCACCGTGAACGACGACGAACTCCTCAACAATGAAAGCTGCTGTCCGAAACATTCTTTGCAAATACCCGGATGAGTACCGCGTCCAAATGGTCTCCCTCCCAATAATCCACGTCTCTTGGGCCGCACGCACCTCTCTATGACGACACAATGGACAATTTGGACTGAAACTGTGGCTGACCCTGACTTGTTCCATCCATTCAATTGCGTCAGAGCAGTCGATGAACTCTGGATGAGGTAGGAGTGTGGCACAGAAGCATGCAATTTCCATCGAATGGAAAGCAATGGGACAAGGAGATGGACACGAGCTTGCAGGGACATCCAAGCCAGCTTTGAATGGCGATCGAGGCTGGAGGGAGACAATCGCGAATGAGAAAGGAGGCAGAAGTGTGGTTCATATGCAGTCTGACAAGGGTCCATCCTAGCACATGCTGGGGTGGGAGCATTTGGATGGAGAAACTGATGTCAGTTTGCCTCGTGCTGCGATCATTGTCCCAACTCTTCGTACATTGGCATTGGGAATCGATAGGAGAGACACGCAGACAGCGTTATCCGGTAACTCGTATGAACCTTGTACTGCTTCTTGTTCTCTCTTTCCAAAGGAAATACGCCACAACAGCTCTTTTTCCGTCCGACACGAGGGTAGTCGGCCCCCGTAGTGCGGTCATTGCGAACATGGGATTTGACGAAATGCCCTCGGCCACATGCAGGGATTTTAGAGTTTAGGGCCACTAGGTGGAGGCTGAGTGGAGAAACGCGACGTCGTCTACCGAGTCCTTGTAAGATTTTCATACGGGGGAGGGTGTGGCGCTTTCATCTGCGGGAAGGCCTCGAGGATGATTGAGAAGTGGACGAAATCGATGTGCAACTCGCATCGCACCGCCGCAGTTGGAACAGCAAACCCGGTTTTTCCTGAGAAATCTACCCAGGATGACTGGCCAACCCCACCTTCCTGCCTACGAGTACCTATCTAGCTACCTGGCTGGTTCGACTAGGGGGCTTCTTCTTCCAGGCACCGCAGAGCAACCAAGGACAGGGAAACCTAGCTCTGCTGGCTCGCTTTGCTCTGCTATAACAAACATGATGGACCGGTGACGTAGGGGAGTTTTTGCCCGTGTACTTGATCAAAGCTGTTCCTCCTCCCTCGTTCCACGACGACTTTGTTCCTGATCTTCACAGAAACCTTGAATGTGTTTTTTTGATTGTATACCTACTCTAGCTCCGAGCTCTTCTTGTACTATTATCGCCCTATCATCGTAACAATCTAATACTTCCTACCCAACTCAACCCAGGAAAAAAACACAACTGAAAAAGCACCAGACAGGCGTGTGCGCGGCTGAACCTGACAGCGGCGCAGAAACAAATGCAGCAAATAGTTTGAGACAGCTGATGACAAGTAATCGACTATCGTCCTCCTCATACGCCTACTACAGCTTCCCACCCACCCCGAACAGAGAATCCCCGCAGTCTAAACGCTCGACCCCAGAGACAGTCAGAAGCTACAAGAGCACAATGCCTTCTCCGGCGGCAGGCAGAACCTCAAATGTCCCAGAGACACCCACAAAGACCGGCAAGAACCCTGCTTCGTCGTCCACTTCCAAGCTGACTGGTGAAGGCACTCCCGGTCGGAAACCGCCCAAGCTCGGCACCTCCAAGGCGACGCCGAAGAAACTGTCAGAGTCAGAGTCGCCGAAACCAAAGCCCACAGAAGACATTACCAAGCCCGTAGAAGAAAAGGGCAAGGATGTCGAGGAGGAGAGCCAACAAGGTATCAGCATGAAAGATACGGAAGAGACTGGCGGCAAGATCAGTCAACCAGGCGACGACACCGGCGCCGAAACCAGTGAGCTCTCCGAAGCTAACCCGGAGCCCATCCCTGAAGACGACGACGACGAGGAAGAAGGGGAGGAAGAAGGTGACACGGTCCGCGGTGGCAGAGATGCTGCTAAAGACGAGGGCACCGAGGGAGACGAAGAGGAAGAGGAAGTGGCAGAAGAGGGCGATGCTGCCGAAGAAGCCGAGGACGAGGCCGAAGGCAAAGGAAACGGTGCACTTGGCGGACTCGGCAAGGCCACCAGTGGTGTCGTTGGTTCCGGCAAGAAAGTCGCAGGTCGTGTTGGCGGTGCCAAAGACTCTGCTACTGGCGCAGCAGGCAAGGCTTCCCAGGGTGATGTGCAAGGCGCCGCAGACGACACAGTCGGCGATGTCAAGGACACAGCAGAAGATACTGCCGAAGATGTCCAAGACACGGCGGAAGATACGGCGGAGGGCGCAAAGGAGACAGCTGAGGAAGCAGCTGATGCCGTACCCAAAGATACTGGGGACGTGCCCGATGTCAAAGAGTCCGCAAATGGCGTCAAAGGTCACGCAGAGAAGGTGGCTGATGATGTCGAGGAGACTGCAGAAGAAACGGCCGATGGTGCAACCGAAGGGCTGCCTGTTGACCTGTCCATCCTGAAGGGTCTCAAGGTCACCGAGACCGGAGACATCAAAGATAAGGCCGGCAACGTTGTCGGCAAACTCGACGAAGGTGACCCCGCCGATCTTGAGGGTTACGAGATTGGCGACGACGGCGAAATCCTTGATGAAGATGGTGACGTCGTCGGTCGTGCAAGCGTCATCCCAGAAAAGGCTCAAGAGCTTGCTGGCAAGGCGACCGAAGACGTTGATGGTGCGGTCAATGGCGTCCACGAAACTGCAGAGGACGCTCAGGACCAGGCCGAAGACGCTGTTAACGGCGTCAAAGACACAGCAGAGGATGCTGTCGAGACATATCTTCCTGACCTAAATGTCCTCGACGGCTTGGAAGTCCAAGAGAACGGAGACATTCTGGACAAGGATGGTAACGTCTTGGGCAGAATCACTGAAGGCGACCCCGCAGACCTAGTCGGCATGACAGTAAATGCCGACGGCGAAATCCTGGACGAAGATGGCGATGCTGTGGGTCGTGCAGAGACCCTCCCTCAGCCTGTTAAACAAGCTGTCGAAGAAGCTGCCGGAGAACTTCCTGGTGTTGAAGCGCTGGAAGGTCTGGAGGTTCAAGAAGATGGAGCAATCAAGGACCAAGCCGGCAACACCTTGGGAAAGATTACCGAAGGTGATCCGGCTGATTTGGTCGGGAGAACACTCAATGCTGAAGGTGAAGTTTTGGACGAAGACGGCGACGTCATTGGCCGCGCAGAAATCGTACCCGAAGCCGCCGAAGCAGTGCAAGAAAAGGTTGATGGTGCCCAGGAGGAAGCCAAACCAGAATTTGTCCAAGAGGCATTCGACAAGGTTGAAGGGTTGCAGGACCAACTGAAGCCGAATCTCACGATCGTCGAAGGTCGCAAACTCAACAAGAAGGGTACTATCCTCGATGACGAAGGAGAAGTCCTCGCGAAACTTGTGGAAGGCGACGTGAAGGCTTGCGCTGGTAAACTTCCCAATGAGAATGGTGAAATTCTCGACAAAGACGGCAAAGTTATTGGGCGTGTTGAGGTCGTCCAGGGAGAGGCTGCCGAAGAAGCTATGAAAGAGCTCCACCCCGAACTGGTTGAACAACTTGAAGAAGCACAGCAGGCTGCGGAAGAAGCCGAAAAGCAAGCTGAGGAGGCTGGCGACCAGGCCGATGTTGCCGGCAAAGCTGCCGATGCCGCTGAGGGTGCCGCAGGCACTGCTGAAGAGGCGGTGGACGAGGCTAAAGACGCAGCTGAGAAGATCACCAAGCCAGATTTCGCACAACTCGAGGGTTTGAAGGTCAATAAGAAAGGTCAAGTGGTCAACGAGGATGGTGATCCCATCGCCCAGTTGGCTGAAGGTTTCGACCTTGAGGCTGTCCGTGGCAAGAAGATTAATGAGAACGGAGAAATTCTGGACAAGGATGGCAATGTTATTGGTCGAGTCGAGTTCATTCCCGAAGCTGTCGAAGAAGGTATCGTCGAAACCATTGAAGAAGCTGCTCCCGAAGTCCCTGAGACTTCGATCCTTGAAGGTCTTAAAGTCAACAAGAAAGGTCTAGTGTTGAATGAGGATGGTGACGAGATCGCGAAACTCGTCGAAGGCGATCTTGCCGCCGTTGCAGGAAAGAAATTGAACGACAAGGGCGAGGTCTTGGACAAGGACGGTAATGTCATTGGCAAAGTCGAAATGATTCCCCAAGAAGTTGAGGAGGAAGTCGAAGAGGCTGCCGAAGAGATTGACGATGGCTTGCCGCCTCTATCCATCCTGGAGGGTCTCAAAGTTAACAAGTCCGGCAAGATTGTCGACAACAACGGCAACGTTGTCGGCGAACTGGTTGAAGGAGATGCCAAGAAGATTTGGAAGGCCGGTACAACCTGCGACGACCAGGGACAATTCTGGGACAACAAAGGCCATATAATTGGTCGTGCAAAGACTCTACCTCAAGAGGATAAGGAAGAAGAAGCCGAGTTCGCAGGTCTTGAAGGTCTAACTGTTGTGGCCGACGGATGGGTTGAAGATGAGAACGGCAACAAAGTAGGCCGCATCGTTGAAGGAGACCCAAAGAAACTTGTCGGTCGTGCGGTCGATGAAGATGGTGACATTATTGACAAGCGAGGTAATGTCGTTGGCCACGCTGAGAGATACGAAGAACCCGAACCAGAGCCCGAACCAGAGGAGCAGAAGATCGACCTTTCAGAACTGAAGGGCTTGACATGTAACAAACAAGGCAATGTCATCGGACCTGATGGTGTTCCCATTGGTCGTCTGGTCGAAGGCAATCCCAAGGAGCTTGCAGGCCGCAAGATTGATGAGAATGGCCAGATCTGGAACGATCAAGGTCATGTCGTTGGCCGCTGCGAACTCATTCCATTCAACGAGCGTGAAGCCAAGCCCGAAGGGCCTTTTGCTGGCCTCGAGGGTCTCATCGTTGTCAAGGACGGCTTCGTTGAGGATCACGAAGGTAACATTGTTGGACAGGTGGTAGAGGGAGATTGGAAGAAACTCCTTGGCCGCGGGGTGGATGAAGATGGCGACATTATCGACAAGTACGGCAATGTCAAAGGCCATGTCGAACCATACGAAGTCCCCGAGGAAGAGGTCGTGGAGGAAGATCTATCCAGCCTCGCTGGTAAGACTGTCAACAAACAAGGCAAGGTCGTTGACGAGCATGGAACCATCTTTGGCGAAGTTGCCGAGGGTGAAGTTCAGCGTCTTGTCGGTTGTAAGGTGGATGGCAAAGGACAAATCTGGTCCAATGATGGCAGAGTCATCGGTCGTGCAAGACTCATCGCAGGTGGTGACGATGGTCGTGCTGAAGGACCATTCTCCAACTTCGACTCTACAACCATTGACAAGGATGGTTTGGTCAAGGACGCCAGCGGAGAGATCATCGGTCGTGTCACCGAAGGTGACATCAAAAAGTTGGTCGGTCGCAAGGTTGATGACGACGGAGATATTGTCGACAAGAATGGTAATGTCATTGGTCACGCCGAACGCTGGGAACCAGAAAAGAAAGAACGAGAGGTTTCACCTATGTCTGGCCTCCGCGTGAATAAGGAGGGTGAAGTTCGCGACCGCAATGGAGATGTTATTGGCCGATTGACAGAGGGCAACTTGCTCGCCTGTATTGGCAAGGAGGTCAACGACAATGGCTATGTCGTGGATCAAGACGGCAACAAGATTGGAGAATGCACCCTGCTTGAAAACATTCCAGATGAAGAAGAAGTCGAGGAGGGTCAAACGCCCGAGCAACTCAAAGAGGAGGAGGAGCGTGAGGTTGCAAAGAAGATTTCCAACATCATCAATCAGACTTTGGAGAAGATGGAGCCTATCTGCAAGCAGATCACAGAGGTAAGTGCATTCATTGCTTGCTTTCCAGGAGTCACACTAACTTCTCATCACAGCTTGTCGAAAGAGCTGACCGCACACCCAAAGAAGAGCTCGATGAGGAGAAACTTGTACAAGACGTCAAACCACTTATCGAAGAGGGCTCTCGTATCCTGGGTGAATGCAATGGTGCGATTCGCGGTCTCGATCCTGACGGTCACATCGCCGCCAACGCCAAAGCAAAGGCAGCGAGTGGTGAGGCTTCGCCAGAAGAATATCGTGTGGCAGAGGGATTGAAGGAACTTACCACTCAAGTGGTCAAGACCATCGACAACGCCAAGAAGAAGATTGCCGATATGCCTCATGCGAAGAAGAAGTTGAATCCACTGTGGGCGCTGTTGACAGAACCCCTGTTCCAGATTATCGCTGCTGTCGGTCTACTGCTGAGCGGTGTGCTCGGGTTGGTGGGCAAATTGCTCAACGGCTTGGGTCTTGGTGGTTTGGTGAGTGGCCTCCTGGGAGGTCTCGGTGTTGACAAGCTGCTGGGTGGATTGGGCTTGGGCAGCTTAGCGGAAGCTATGGGTCTGGGGGGTGGAAAGAAGAAGAAATAGGCGATGAGTTGAGATGAATTGCAGTTGCTGCGGAGAAGGCAGCAGGATATGAGCTATGGGGAGGAATTTGTAACACTACCTTTTCCTGGGTTTTGGGTATGAGGCATTTGACTGGATTTTGTTTTGCTTGTTATGAATGTGGCGGGATGTACATGTGGAGGGTAATGACATTTGCTGTTCTAGCGAAGAATGATAAAAGTGTTTGTAAAAACCACTCAACATGTATCGTGTCAAACAAACCTGAATGGTAAGTTCTTGAGGGTGTGTAGCCGTTGCACCTATATCGCATACCGATCTATAGATTGTTGCAATCTATCAGTTCATCACGCACTTACCTCGTGGGCATCAATCGATGGTCAGAGGTGAGATCTTTCATTCGTCGCCATGCATGCTTTTGGCGATATTCTGGGGACGAAAAAGTCATTGAGGCAACGATCATGATGTTGCCAGTGCGGCATTTCATGATTCGACGGATGGATGGATTAACAGAGTCAGTTGTCAGCTGGAAAGCGTTGACGTTCCATCCACTCCTGCCGCGTGCTTGGGCCACCGTATCATCAGGACATGGCGATGGATCCCACTCCCTCCCCACTCGGCCATGTCGCACTCGATGAACGGCCGCGTACCTCTCGTGCCTTTCGTCCTTGCCTCGTCGTCGTCCTCACCGCGGTGGTGGTCACCGACCTCTACAAACCCATGTCGAATGTAGAATGGATACCCCGCGGGAGTCGCGGCCAGGACGACAGGAACGTCCAATCTGTCCGCCCAGGGAAAGATCCACGCCAACAATCTGCTCGCGATGCCCCTGCGCAGGTGTGATGGGGAGAACGTCCCGATCCCGCGCACCTCGAAGCAGTGCATGACTCCGAACGTGGCGGAGAGGGCGGCTTCGACGGTCTGGTCCCAGTGTTCGTGGAGGGCGCGGTGGGCGGATGATGGCAGGTCGACGACCTCCGTATCGACATTCGTCGGAGGTTGCGATGCGGAGGAGGTCAAGCTTGGTATTTCGACTTTGCTCTGGGTCTCTGTCGTACTTTTTGAGACGGATGGTTGTATTCTGTGTTCCTGTTCTTGTCCTGGCAATGGGTGATATTGGAACTCGGCAAACGCGACGACGACACCTCCAGCGGCAGACACTATGTCACTCTGTGCCGTTGGCTGCGGCAGGTCCAGGTCCAGGTCCAGATCCAGATCGCGAATGACCAGGTGCTCCATGCGCGGTACATGCCGACCCAACCCGTCGGACTCGAGACCGACGATACGGGGATATTTCAGCTCGCTGAGGAGCTCGACCCTGGTGCACGCCTCGAGCCATTCGCGAGCCTCCTCGGCGGGGACGTTGCCGTATCTCAACTGTCCTAGCGGAGTGGTGGTCAAGGACGAATGTTTGATGCGTGCGATATCCGGGATCACGTTATCTGCGTCGTCTAAGGAGATGTGGATAGGGTCGGTCAGGTGCATGTTTATGCTAGAAAAGGGAATTTTCTGGCGTTTATGGGTTGAGGGAGGTGGGTGGGTGGGCTAACTATGAGCAATACAAGACGTGGCCACCAGTGCCACTAACCAGTTGTGCCAGTGCAGTTTAGCGAGGGGGAGGAATGGCGCAAGGGTGTGGTTCAGCCTCGTCAGCCCCCTCCTTCCACAGGAGCAGAGGGTGATTAGGTGATTTGTTTCCAACCACAACCAAATGAATTCAACAGCTTAGAACACAGGTACAAGCAGGATATGGCTCGTAGGAGGTACAGAGAGCGGAGGAGACGCGGGGAAACCCTGGAGGAGCGACGCGTCGAGACCTCGGTATCCCGCATCGTCTAACTCGGCTCAGAGCTCGTCTGCCCGAGTCGTCCACAAGCAACACAGACATATCCCAGGTTCAACAAAATAGCATTGGACAACCGGTACCGAGTTCCAACTTGTTCTACGAGGTTAAGGCTTTCCAACTGGCACCACAAGGTTACTTATTACTTGGAGGTACCGACCGTTTCGCTTATCCAAGGTCAAGTGAAGTGGGTAGTCCACTGGCTAATTGCTGACACTGTGCCTCGGAAACTTGGTGTCCAAGGACTTAAAGGACATTATTACACGGTTTTTTTGTTTCATTTTCATCCTTTTTCTGGTTGATCTTGACAATCTACACAACATCCCTGCGAGTTTTCGACGGGACCTTTTGTTTGTGTCTGCGCCCATATCAACATCACAATAACGAACGACCCGCCATGTCGATAACAACCCCCCTCACCCAGCTGCTGGGTATCAAGCACCCCATCCTCCTGGCTGGTATGGGTTCGACGTCGGGTGCTCCTCTTGCGGCGGCCGTGACGAATGCCGGTATGTTGTCTTGATCGAAAACAACCCTCCCTGCCGTCGCTCCTTGTTCTCGTTTTTCCAGGACGCATGCTAAATTCCATGAGAGGCGGCCTCGGGGTGATTGGTGGAGTGGGATACACGCCCAAGATGCTCAAGGAGATGATAGAGGAGTTGAAAGTGAGTGGATGTTTTGTTCGCAGTTACTTTGGCCGAGACGGATGGGCACCGACACCCGCCAAAAAAGCTGGGGAAATAAGGGAGAAAAAAGAAATCGAATTGTATTACAGAGGCTGAATTTGTCACTTCTCGCTCGAACAGGCTGCTCTCAAGGACCCTTCAGCCCCCTTTGGCGTCGATCTCTTGCTCCCACAAGTCGGCGGCAATGCGCGAAAGACCAATGTGAGTAATGTCCTCCCCCATTCTGGCTCCCTTAAATCGAAAATGTCCTTCAATTTTGGTCCCTCGTGTGGCCGCTGATCGCCCTCTTCTAATGTCTCAATCTGCAGTCGGACTACACAAAAGGTGCCCTCGATGAACTCATCGACATCATCATCGCCGGTGGCGCCAAACTCTTCGTCTCGGCCGTGGGAGTCGCCCCCAAACACGTCGTTGACAAGCTGCACAAACACGGCGTGCTTTATATGAACATGGTTGGACACCCGAAGCATGTCCACAAGGCGTGCCAGGCTGGCGCCGACATCATCTGCGCCCAGGGAGGAGAAGCTGGAGGTCACACTGGCGAAACGGCCACGACGTGAGTGAGACTGATCTATTTTCGTACGACGAGAAAATGCTGGTGCATCATTGGCATTGCGGTACGCCCTGCCCCCCAATGGAACGGAATCGCTGACCCTTGACTGTGAAGTATCTTGATTCCCGCTTGCGCCGATATTGTCAAGAACTATACCTCCCCACTGACAGGCAAGGCCGTCGAACTCGTCGCCGCCGGCGGCATTTTCGACGGTCGCGGCATTGCGGCAGCCTTGTCGCTGGGCGCCTCGGCCGTCTGGGTCGGCACACGATTCGTCACGGCCAAAGAATCCGGCGCCGCCGAGGCCGCCAAGAGGGCCATCCTCGCTGCGGGCTTTGACGACACCATCAAGTCGACAATCTGGACCGGCCGTCCCCTCCGCGCCATTGCCAGCCCTTATGTCCGGAACTGGGAGACGAAGCGACGGGACGAGATCGAGGAGCTGCAAAGTAAAGGCATCCTTGTCCTGAACCACGAGTTGGAGAAGTTGGAGAAGACCGGAGGCCTCACCGAGGAGATTGAGGATCAATCGGCGTGCATGTACGTCTACTCTTGCTCCTCCCACCACGGTATCGCCGCAAGAAGTGTTTGCTAACATGTAATTTTTTTTCTTCTAAATATAGGCCGGCCGGCCAGGTCTCTGGTCTCGTTAACACGCCAAATCAGACTGCAGCAGAGATTGTGGAGGAGATGATGGATGGCGCTGTCAAGGTGCTGAACCGTGTTGGGGGGTATTTGAAGCCGAGTGCCAGACTGTGATTGTATTTGGCCGCAAAGGAAGGGAAAGACGAAAAGAGGGATGTGTGAGTCTTTGAACGGAGCACAGGATAGGTTTCCCTAATTGCCATCGCCTTGCCTTGCTGTGATGTGCTGCGCTTCTGGATAGTAGGCGATGGCGCATTGCTGTGGTCCGTAGCTCACCAACGCCTTCGTCTTAGGGAGTTGCTCTCCCACCTTGAAGCAATCATAGATGTCTAGACGTATTCCCTACCGCAGCAGGAGGCAACTCGCTTGTTCTTTTGGCTCTGCGAGGGCCTCAGGCTTTATTGGGGTTACCGCTCTCCTCCTCAGCCTTTCCGGTTACTCCAAAGCATATCGACTACCGCGCTACCAGCCTCGTGCCCCACCCCGCAGCCTCGCGAGAACCCGTGGTGCGCGAGGGTAAGCAAGCGAAATTTCAAATTCCTACCAAACCACAGGGACATGGTCGATTCATTCGGACCAACTATCTAAAGTCATCCCCAATCTACCGAGATACGAAAAAGAGTCTCCATGGCCGGGGAAACCCCGTTCTCGCCGTCTCCGGACAAACCAGTCGTCGCCGTGGCAGGTGGTACCGGCGACCTGGGCACACGGCTGACCGAGACGTTTCTCTCCGCCGAGCTGCGCGACCGGCTGTCGGGGTTCGTGCTGCTCGCTCGTCGCTACACAGCCCGGATGGAACGATGGAGGGACTCTTTAGGTGCCGAGGTGCGCATTATCGACGACGACGACGAGGGCGACGGGGTGACGGGGTGTGATGAAAACGATCTGATCATGGCGTTGGACGGGGTCGATGTCCTTGTTAATGCGTGAGTAATTTTCTCGATATCTTGTTTCTACGCACAATTACCTTGCAGCGGTATACACGTACTTTGTCTCTCTTTTCTCTGTCCTCTCTTTGAGGTGTATGGCGGCCTACACGTTCCAACCACTCCCCCAACCCCCCCGACCCTTTTGAAAAGGACACTACGGCTGAAATCCCACCCTTCTCCCTTCATAGCATATCATCATCAGGCGCCCGACTGCGCGACAAGATCGCCCGCGCGCTCCCCCAGACGCGGGTGAAGCTGTACTTCCCGTCCGAGTTCGGGGTGGACCACACGCTGCACGACTTCCGCGTGCCGGAGTGGGACGGCAAGAAGGCGCACTACGCGCTGACCCGGCAGGTTTTGGCGCCCACGAACATCCAGGTCTGCAGGATCTTCAACGGCCTGTTCCTCCACAGCGGCGTCGGGCCCTGGTACGGCTTCCACACGGCCAAGGACGTTTACCAGGCCGTAGGCTCCCTCGACCAACACGTCAGTTTCACCGAAATCGGCGACATCGCCCGCGTCCTGTGTCTGCTCGCCGAGCGCGCCATGCGTGGTGGCCCCGTGCCCCCGCAGCTCCGCATCGCAGGCACCAACGCGAGTTTTCGCGACGTCGCTCGGCTCATGACCGCGGCGGGCGCGGGTGCGGGTGCGGGTGCGGGCGAGAAGAAAGAGATCGAGCTCAAGAGCGTCGAGTTGGAGGCGTTCCGCAACCGCATCCTGAACCGCCAGTACGAGGACCGCGGGCCCATCCCGTGTCTGCGCTTCATCATGGGCGACGGGCGCGCAGACTACAGAACCACGGAAGAAGGTGGGCTGGGCAACGATAACGACCTCGTCAACCCGGACCAGAGGCATTTTGTGTGGAAGACCATGAGGGATTTGGCCGTCGAGACCAAGGGGAGACCGAATGTGAATGCTTGATACACCACGACTCCCTTTTTCTTTGCTTGCTTGTCACCTGAAAAGAAGGGGGGGTTAGAAGGCATCACACCGATTCAGACAGAGGCGCAAGGGTGTCTATGTTTTCGCGTCGACTATATTTACGCCGTCTAAGCCAGCTCTACCCACTCACTCGCCCCTCCTATCTATCTACGCCGATGGCGGGCGTGCTATCGCATCCGCGCGGCATTCCACATCTCAAATTCCAGCAACATCTCCCTCGTGATGCTCTTGGGCGTCTGCCCGATCGCCTTGCGAACGTCGTCGGACACGATGATGTCGCGGTCCGCGTCAAAGGCGTTTTCCCCGGCTGTCTGGCAAATGGCCACGACCTCGGCACCCGAAAACCCTTCTGTGGCACTGGCGAATTCTCCGACGTCGTCCTCGAGGCTGTCGGGATTGTCATAGACGCCTTCGAGGCGCTTGTGGAAGATCTCCTTCCTCGCTTCCACGTCCGGCGGACCGATGTAGACGATGTTGTCAAATCTGCCCGGACGCAGAAGGGCCGGGTCGATGTTTTGCGGCTTGTTGGTCGCGGCGACGACAAACACGTTGCGCAGCTCCTCGAAGCCGTCCATCTCGTTGAGCAGCGTGGTCAGCACGTTCAGGTCACTGCCACTCCTCCCGCGCGAGGCGATCGCGTCGATCTCGTCAAAGAAGATGATGCTCGGGCTGGCCGCGCGCGCTTTGCGGAACACCTCGCGCGTCGCCCGCTCGCTCTCGCCCACGTACATGGAAATCAGCTCGGCGCCCTTGACGGCCAGAAAATTCAGCCCGGCTTCCGTCGCCAGCGCCCGCACGAGCAGAGTCTTGGAGCACCCCGGCGGGCCGTACAGCAGGACTCCCTTCTTGGGTTGTAGGCGCAACTTCTTCATGCGGTCGGCGAACCGCAACGGGCGCTCCACGGCGTTGTGCAGTTGTCGCTTGACTTCGTGCTGGCCGCCGATGTCGGTCCATCGGACGTTGGGCGTCTCGAGGAATATCTCCTGCAGGGCAGACGGTCGGACCTGTTGTAGGGCAGTCTCGAGGTCTGCGGGCTCTATCACCATGGGAGACCCTCCATCGCCTTCTGCTGCCTCGTGAGCCGGCAGGTGCTTCGATGCCAAGTGGATCGTCACCCGAAGAAGAGCCCGCAGATCGACGCCCACGTATCCGTGAGTCCTCTCTGAAATTTCCTGCAAAAGGTCGTCCCCCGGGATACTGTCCTCGCCTCGCAGGGCCAGCAGGATCTCTTTCCTCTGAAGCGCCGAGGGGATCGGCAACTCAATCTCGGCCGCAAATCTGCCTTCTGTCCGCAGCCTTTCGTCAACGTCATTCGGATGCCTGGCTTCAGCGACCACTAGGGTAGGGCTTCCCTTGATGCGCTCAAACATCAAGTCCAGTTCACGGGACACAGTAGAAGAGCTGCTAGTGCCGGAACCTTTGATGATATACTCTGGCCTCACGAGGACGAGACAGGGATCTGGTGAAGCGTGGATCTCTGTCCCTGGCATCCAGGATCGGACCGCAGGCCACGCGCAATCAGCCAAAGCAGTAATCACGGCAGATTTGCCCGTGCCTTTAGCCCCATATAGAAGAAGGCCCTGCACAGGCTCGTACGCTTGGAAATGCTGTTTGGCAACCGGATTGCAGAGATCGCTCACGATGTCCTGCACTTGAGCAATCTGCGATCGTATCCCGCCGAGGTGCTTTGGTTCGAAAACAATAGTCACTGGCTGATCGGATGTCTCTGAGCTGACGACGCGAAATGTCGTGTCCCTGGTCACGCGTGCAAACAGGGAGTCAGGCACACCCACGTCCTTGACGACAAACTCGACTGCTCCGGCCTTGTCCGACTTGTTGGGCAGCGGACAGTGTAGTCGCTGGGACACGACCATATATTCGCCCGTAGGGGAGATGTAAGAGGCGATCTGTTTCGACCAGGACTTCGAGTCAGTCGTGTCAGCGTCCGGCTGGCCTCCCGGCACCTTCTGGACCGTCACCGAGAGGGAACTCGGCAGAGGATGTGGCCAGCGCGAGATGGTGACTTTATCGCCCAACTTGAACCCGTAGGCTTCCTGGAGCAATCTCGACGTCTGGACGATCGAGTCCTTCATCCCCGGGCCCAGACCCTGCCACGCAACGGCGAGTTTTCTCTTGCCATTGGTGTTATCCCCGTCCGCTCCTCGGAGTTCACAGATGTCCCCGGACTTGAGCTTCAGCGAGAGCATCGACACGGCCGTCAGCCCGATTCTAAAAGGGTCTTTGTCCGCGCCGGCCGGACGCACAATGAAGTTGGACATGGTTCCGAGACCGTACCTATCGACATGGTTGTATTGCCAGGTATGATGCGACAAAGGAAAAAAATATCCACGAAAATCCGTAATGGAGCATTTTACTTCTTTATGCCTTGGCGGGTCGCGTCACGTGAGATGAACAGAGGTCCCCAATCGGGTACCATTGAAGTCTACGGTTCAATGGAGTGATCGAAGGCATCTAGAGAGCGTTTGACGTGTTGCGGAGATGGAAATAAAGTTCATTGCAAGGACTCAAGGGAGTCTCTCTTGCCTGCACTACGAGTGACCCTCTTGGTTAGGCCGGCATCATCTCCTACGTCTCGTCCTGTAGTTCCTTCGTAGCTGGTATCAGCCATTTCCTGAGGCTTTGAATCTTCAGGGCTTTCTTCTCGAATGTCCGCGGCTCGTGGAACGCTCTCCCAGCCCTCCCCATCGTCCATCTTCGAAGCAGAGGTCACCTCTTTTACAACTTTAGCCCCTTCACTTTCGGCTCCGTTCCAAGCACCACAGCCACTGCATCTCCAACGACCCAGTTCTTCAAGTGTCCTCACGCCAGGAGGTGCTTGACCATTGACCAAGCGACATCTGGCGCACAACAGGACCAATCTGTTCTTGGCCGCGGTTTCATCCTCACCAAGAAGAACATCCAGTATGCGGTCGTACCAGTGAGGCGGCTGCTCATACGTGGTGCTAGAAGCAGGCGGCATGCTGGAGAAAGCATTTGGAGCGAAACCGGGAGAGTCTGGCGTAATCTCTATTGGGCTATGTGCCATCACAGGGGCCGCATGTGGTGATGGGCCATGAGTTGGCGACATAGGCGCAGAGCCAGTCTGTTCGTTCGGTTGCTGAGGGAATGGCATGGAGCTGTGTCTTCCTGGAATATTTGCCGTTGGCGGAGGTGCGATACCAGTCCTCTGAACAGGGCGCTGGTCTGTGGCAGGAATCGCCTTTCTCTTCGGACCCGATTGCGGCTGTTTCGAGGGAGACTTTGTCGGTGGAGCGCCTCCATATTTCTGCAATAGCTCCTGAGTACTGTCGTACTTTGTAGCTTTCTTCAGATCTGCAATCTTTTGCTCTCGCTGCTTCTGTAAATGCTCCAAATATGCTTGCTGACGGCTTATCCTCCAACCAAAGAAGGCGGCGATGGATGTGCGGACCACGTATATGAGGATCGGAGAACCGACAAGACCGGCATAGTGATAGATCGACCAGTTCTGTGGTCCAAGGACGAGAACAATGACCAAAGTGTAGAGAAGGTATGTGAGGGTGGTATAAAGAGTCCACAGGGCCTTGATCCGGCGGTCTCGACTGCGACTTGTGTCAAGGGCAAGGTTTGCGGTGGTGATTTGTGAGGACAGTTTGGAGAGGGCTTTCTCGAATGATGCAGGGGAGTTGGCATCTCCCTTGTATGGCAAGTCAGTCATTGTCAGAGTGTTTTGGGCGGGCGCGTGCTCACCTTCCAGAGCCACGACATGCTGGCGCGCCTCATTATCGAAGCTGAGAATCCCAGGTAACAGAAAAGGGCTAGTTATGAGGAGCTGCGTGCCATTGAAGGGTCGTGACTTATTGACAACAGCATCATGCGCCAAGTTCGGGGCACACGCATGCGACGACCATGGATAATGAATCGATGTCCGCCTGCGTCACAGCGAGAATAACGAAAACGTGTTGTCACGTCAGGTCAGCCTGGCGGGCCAGTTGCCCAGTTGCCAGTTGCAGGCTGCGCTTGGGCTTGGAGAGCATTTTCCGTCAATGCGGGGAACGCCACGACTATGATATAATTCCAGCTTCAATGCTTGCATGCTTGCGCTTCAATTTTCTTGTCCACTTCCACGCTGAACCTCAGTGACAGTCCGTCATGGCATCTCCTTCCTACACGCGAAAGCTCCTCGGAGAGTCTTCACGGAGCCTGTTTGCAGCACGGCGTTCGATATGTTGGAACTGCCAACAGCCCGTCAGATCTCTCGCCAACCAGAGACGAAAGATTAGCAGTTACGGCTACACCCAAGCTAAAGCCCTTGTATATTCCAAGTATGGAGAGCCTCAAGATGTCCTATCACTACATGGTCACTCTATTTCACCCGCATCTGGGACGAACGTCGTCCTCCGAATGCTCGTCGCCCCGATCAACCCTGCCGACGTCAATCAGATCCAGGGTGTGTATCCTGCGAAACCAGAGATGACAACAGCTCTCGGTACCTCAGAACTCTCGGCGGTGGGTGGGAATGAAGGTGCGGCGGAGGTCATCAGTGTCGGTTCTGGGGTGAAATCCCTCGAGAAAGGAGATTGGGTTATTATGAAGACTACCAGTATGGGCACCTGGCGGACACACATGGCGATAGACGAGAGCAAATTGATCAAAATTGACAACAAGGAGGGACTGTCCCCCCTCCAGGTCGGGACCGTCTCCGTCAACCCCTGCACGGCATACCGCATGCTCCTTGACTCGGCAAAATGGAGTTTCCGCGGAGACGAGTGGTTCATCCAAAACGGGGCCAACAGCGGCGTGGGAAGAGCCGCCATACAGCTGGGGCGGGAGTGGGGATTCAAGAGCATCAATGTAATCCGGGGTCGGGAGAATAAGGAGGAGGAACAGAAACTTCGCCAAGAGCTGCTTGATATTGGAGCCACCAAAGTCATCACCGAAGAAGAACTACAAGGTCGCGAGATCCGAGACCAGATCAAAGAGTGGACAAATGGAGGACGAGAGCAAATCAAAGTTGGCCTCAACTGCGTGGGTGGGAAGCCCGCCACGGCCCTTGCCAAATTCCTCAGCCCCGGAGCGACCATGGTGACATATGGAGCAATGAGCAAACAACCTCTCATGTTACCTGCATCGCTCCTGATCTTCAAGGAGATCTCCTTCAATGGGTTCTGGGTGAGCAAGTGGAGTGACCGGCACCCTGACCAGAAGAAACAGACGGTGGACGACGTCCTTCGCCTCACCAGAGAAGGGCGATTCAAAGATATACCGGTGCAGGAGTGCAGATGGGGATGGAACACTGAACTTGACCTTTTGAAGCAAGCGGTCCAAGGCACCCTCGGGGGCTTCCGGCCGGGTAAGGGCGTTTTTGTGTTTGAAGAGACGTGAGCGGGTTGATGTACTCGCTTCTTGTACAGGACATGTCTTTGGGATACTCCGTGGTGCGAAATGGTGCGTTGCTCTGCCCTTTGCTCAGTGATATGGGGGTTTTCTGCTACGCAATCTTCTTCTGGTTGCACTCTCCAGCGACCCATGTACCTGAAGCCAAAGGCGAAGCTGATGATGTATGATCTATGTTCACATACTCACCCACTAGGTGCACTGTAAGTTTATACACATCAAGTACATGGTTATTTAGTAGCCGTGGCGAGTGTTACAAGCGCTATCTACCTGTGGTGCTGTGTTGGTAGTAACGCTGGATGGGCAATGACAAAGGAGATACTATCGGATTGACAAATTCACGGCGGAAATAAGACCCATCACCCATCGCCCATGACACGCACGCACGCACGCGCCTTTTGCTTGTCAAGAGATAATCGTACCAAAAGAAAAAAAAGGCGGAAGTAAGTATGAGCAAAGCAACCCCCAATCCTACCTACTAGTAACCTTGTCGGTACCGTCCGCATTTCCGCCCAGTAAATCGACCTTGTGTGCGCGGGGATTCCGCCCACTAGCACCAGAGTCAGAAAAGGGCATTTCTACCCGTTTCGGGTCTATTCAACGCTTGGCGAAGCCTTGCGCTGCTTTTGAGACTGCAACAGCTCCCGGCACAGCTTTACGTGCAGCGAAGACGCCTGATGATGATGATTCACCGGATGAGCCTTGAGGATCTGTACGTGTACCAATATCAATGCTTGTTGTGTAGGTGTCTATCGCAGCTATTCCTACATTACCATCTATATAACCTCGCAAAAGTGGATAGCAACCAGTCATATTGTCCCGATCCCCCTTCGATGCAATCCCGGCGACTGCCCTTTCTCCTTCAAGCCCACTTCCCAAGCAGACTCATCAAAATCATACCGGCGAACAAGCTGAACCCACCAAGAAGGGTCTTTGCCGTTGTCGTGTTCAGCATCTCGCCACCATCTAGGATCCAATCTCGTGCCAACATATCGACCAGCGCGACCCAGATCAAAATGCCGGCGCTCAGGGAGTCTAGCGTACCAATCGCCACAATGGTATTCTTCTCGTTCCCGTTGAAATCGTGGATCACACCCAGACCGATTGCCATGCCGATGGGTGTGATCAGGGCGTATGCGAACGCCATAAAGAATTTGGTGGGCCAAAAGCGGGCGAAATCCGAGGGTAGCAGAGCAATCCGTGCACCAAGTGCGAGGCCTTCAAAGAATTGGTGAAATACAATCACAATCAACAGTGTTTTGTAGAAGGAATCACCCGCCACTACCAGCGTCAGGCCGATGAGGATGCTGTGAAACAGGATACCTGCTTCCATCACCATGACCGAAAGCTTCGAGTTGGGATTGGCCGGGTCGAGAGGGTTGCCATGATTATGGCCAAGATTTGCGAGGTTGTTGGAGTTGTATGCTGACGCATGAGGATCAGTCAAGCTTTTTGAGATCGGCGTAGATTCTCCTTCCTTCGCGAATGCTGAGACGGTGGCCGTCTCTTCGGGGCCTGCGCCCCTCTGCTGTTGAAGAGAGGCTCCTCGCGCGAGAACGATGCGGTGGCCGATATACTCGACAAGGAAAGCAAGGATAATTCCAGCCATGACAATCGCAGATGTTGTACCTTCGTACTCGAGCACACCAAGACATTCATTGTTAAACATCAATGATGCGTGAGTATAGAGATGGACGAAAGCAGTCGATAGAATAACCCCGGTGCCGAATTGCTTGACAATGGTGAATACGAAAGTGTTTACAGTTTTGAAGGGGAGCTTGGTGAGCAACAATGGTGCGTAGACGCCGATTGCGCTGGTGACCAAGACAACGAAAAGTGTACCGATTCTGAGCGGGATGTCGTAGTCTCGCTGTGTCAAGCCGCAGTTCCGCTCTTCACTGACGCTTTCGCTCCCACCAACGGGAACGCAATGCCTAGACATCATTAAGCACTGGACGCGTTTTATAGACAATGGTAGCTTACTCTACCCCAGCGTGAAAATGGCAATCAAGCTCCTCCTCACCCTCAGAATGCTCATGATCATCATGGTCCTCATGATCTTCGTGATCCTCGTGTTCATCATGGTCTTCTGAGACAGTAGCTCCTTCGGCAAGGACCAATACTTCTGAGCCATCTGGGGCGAAGCAGTACCTTGGTTCATTAGCTCAGATATCTTTCTCCATGCAAGCGCTCAGCGCTCACTGTTCATCTCCATGGCCATGGCATCCGGTGTATTGCGCCGGCGGTTCTCCAGTTGCGGTTGCGATCGTTGAGATCATGACTTCTTCTCCAGCACCATTGATGCAGAAGCTGATAGTCTGTCAGCTTATGTATATCCATTCGCCTCTGTAAAAGCTTACATATCAGCACCATGTGCATGACACCCTGTCACAGCGGTAGTTTGACCGGTAGTTGTGGCGGAAGCAGACACCGACGCTGGTAGAGTTGCCGTCGACAATGTCGTAGGAGCGACGGAAGAATAGGTTTGCAGAGCAGTCTCTTCACCATCCGGGCCATAGCAGTACCTGCAACTCCTTGTCAGCGAAGGCCGTGTGAGTAGACCAGAATGTCGTACTCGACGGAGGAATGATTGTGGCAACCAGTGTATGTTTGAGCATAAACGGCACTTTGGAATGCCAGCACTAAGAAAATAGTTGCCAGCATGATGAAGAACCCTTGGGATACAAAATAGACACTATAGCAGTAATGTGACGGCGAATGAAAACGAAACACAATGTCCAATGCTGGAAAAAGAGCACTCGAGACACAAAGACTGTCCAAGTCAACACGATACTAGGGAAGTATCTTGCCTCGTTACCTTGGTCTTGTATGAAAGTGGAAGGAGCCATATATGCTACCCTTCAACTCAACGTTGTCTCTGTGATTTCGTCGGCACGATTGACGATCGGCGCGACGGCCTCGGAAAAGAAGATTTTCAACAGTGACCCCACCCTTTGACAAACGGAAACTCGATATTCTCGCATCTTCCTCTCCCAGTAGACCGTAGGACCACTTGGCAAGGCTATATCGCATTGGGAGGAGGCGGGCCAAAGCTCGGAGTGGAAGGCTCGGTGGAAACATCGCAGGCGCCAAGTCGTTGGCGGGAACGGACGATTGTCCAAGACATAAGGTCCTCAATTTTGGAAAGTTTGAATCCATGAGTATGGGCAAGTCCAAATAGTAGGAAGCTGAGTGGTAGGCGTAGTAGATGTAGTTGGCCAAGGCTCTGGGTTTAAGGTACTCATTTTTGTCTGGGCGTTTCCGCAGCGGAGCGGAAATGTCTTGGCACAAGGAAGCATACTGCCCTAGACTCGGACCTGAGCGCTGCAATGGGGAGTTTATATCGATGGTGACCACACACGTGCCGCTCCACCAAGGCCTTCTCCTCGCTATGGAAGAGCTGTAATCGGTATTATGACCTCAAATGCCATGTCATGATTGGATCGCCAATGCCGCTAGGACCCTTCATATCGCCACCTCATGCTGGTCCTCGCTTGTGATAGCCTCGTGGTACGCTTTGGCACAAACGAATACTCCCGCCTTTGCTTCCATCATACCAGCCGATCGAGGAACTGAGCAGAAAATTTTTCCTTGAAGTCATGCGGCCATCGATCATGGGTGGAGGAGGAGGTTGGGGGAAAGCCGACAAGTCGACGGATCAGGTTGCGTACCTTGCATACGTCCCGAACATGAGAGAGTAAAGGCCGGGTATAAAATGGAGCTGTAGATCCAGTCATTGAGTCGGGAGACATCGCCATCCGCAACCTCAGAACTCCTCCATCTTCCTGACTGGCCCGCTTCAAGTCCAGAAAAAATGTCTCTCGTTTTCAAAGCTCTGTTCGTTTCCGCAATCGCGGGCGTCCTTGCGGCACCTACGCAGCTGGTAGCACGTCAAGAAGCCCCCCCGTCCGAGATTAAGGCCTGGGATGCCGGTGCTGTCTCGGAGTTCCAGATTCACGAAAGCTGCAATGTCACCCAGGCAACTCAGATTGCAGCCGGTTTGGACGAAACCATCTTGCTCGTCGAGCACGCCAAAGAGCATGTCCTCCGGTTCGGCAACACCTCTGACATCTATCGTCGTTATTTCGGGGACCGACCTCCCCATGAAGTCATCGGTGCCTATGAGATTATCATCCATGGTGACAAGAAACGTGTCCTGTTCCGCTGTGATAACCCCGACGGCAACTGCGATATTCCCAGTGAGTTGAACATGTCGTCTCGAATGTGACATTGACTGAGACATCCCTAGCATATGCTGGCCACTGGCGTGGAGAGAATGGCACCGACGAGACCGTCATCTGCGACCTGAGTTATCAGACACGCCGGTGGTTGAGTTCGATGTGCGCACTTGGATATACTGTCGCTGACTCGCCTACCAACACATTCTGGGCTTCCGATTTGCTGCATCGCCTTTACCATGTGCCCGTCATTGGCTGGGGACATATCGAGCATTTCGCCGACGACTATGAGGAAGTCGTCGAGCTTGCTGCTGGTGACACCCCCGAGTCCACGCATGACAGCGATACCTTGCAGTACTTTGCACTTGAGGTGTACGCGTTTGATATTGCCGTTCCAGGCGTTGGATGTCTTGGTGGGGAAGGGTCTGGCGCAGCACCACCGCCACCAGCAACAACTAGCTCGCCAACGACGCCAGAAGCTCCGTCATCAACGGCCCCTCCACAGGAATGCCACACTCATGAGGGAGGTGATGTGCACTGCAGTTAGGAATAATTAGGAATGCGGGTGAAGTGGAGAGGGAAGATATTATCGAGTGTGAAATAACACATCGAAGACACGCAATGCGCAACAAAACCCATGGATCAACTCCCAAAGTACATAGTATCGAGATAGAAAAATGATGAAGTAATAGCCAAATGCATCGTGGCCTCGATCATCGAATAACATACCTGCTAACCATCCTTACCAATCTAGTCATGTCGCTTGTAACCAACTCCATGGCCCGCAAAGTAACTAATCGTAGAGCAGCGATTTTTGTAGGGAGGGAAGAACCTCTCAGTGGCCCCAAAAGCGGCCGCATTGACCGCCAAACTCGGAACTCGACGGGAAATCTCCCCGCAATGACCTGCCTAATCGGTACCAAACATCTCCTAAGGACATTGCCTAGAGGGCAGAATTCCGCGACCACTCAAAGGTCTGAACGGCAAAGTTTCCCTATCAAAGTGACGACGGAATTTCTGATATGCCTTGGCCATTCAGAGCAAGGTTATTCGCTCCCAGTAATACTCTGCACTGTAGTCGTCGTTGCCCCTGCCGCCGCCAGTCAAATAGCGTACAATCTCCGTGGAGCCATTCCTAGGTCGCATGAGAAAGGCAATAAAGAAACAAGTCGAGCTGGTCACAGTCTCTGATGTTCTTTTGTCAACCCTCTGCTTTGTCGGGTGACCAACAATTCCTCAATTTACGTGATGCTCATGAACATAACCAAGGATCCTTGAGCAGTTCTTGGGCCACTGCACGATCCTCTGGCAACCACCGAAGCATTCTTCCAACGAACCGGAGAAACCATCTCTTGTCCTCGCCAGAAAGTTTGGTGATAGTACATTCCAGACCTATACCACAAGGCTTGCCGACTTTCCTGTTAATCAAGATCCCTTTTGAAGGAATTAGCAACACAATTTCACGGGTTTTATGAAGATCACGGGTTAGAACTATAGCGCGTACATTCTGGTGTGAAAAACTGAGCGTTTGACTCTCCCCGGACAAGGAGCTGCTTGGGTTGTGGGCCAAGGAACGATATCATCTCATTAAGATGCATATCGGGTGCGTAGGTATCAGTACCCGAGTCGAAAGCTTGAAAGAGCGATCGGCCTTCCAATAAATCCCAGATCTGTCATTTGATCAATTTACGAAACGAGCGTTAGATTTCGTGAAGAAACTATACCATTACACCAAGATTCCATATATCAGCGCTGTATGACCAGCCAGCACGTAGGATTACTTCAGGGCCTGTAAGAGGTCAGGCTGGATGGGGTGGTTGAATGTGCCATCGAACGACCGAACGGCAAGTCCAAAATCTGCGATTTTAGGACGTCCAGGAGGACCCCTTAGATCTCCAAAGTTCCGGTGAGCATATATACGTCGGTCGTCGTAAACTTTCGCTGGAGAAGGATGCCTTTGCTCCTCTTTAATGAGCTCGTTTATTATCTCTTCATCTTCAATCCCAAGTAAAATGTTGTCAGGCTTCAAATCTGAATAAATCAGCTTAATTCCTAGTCTTCGGAGTCTCAGATGAAGACACCTGTATGGATGATATGACACTGCGTGTGTAGGTAATCAAGTCCAGTCAACAGAAACTTGAGCAAGGGCTTGAGGAGATTACTAGGGAGGCATCCGTTTTGAAGACGGCGTGCGAACGTGGACAGGGTCTCCCTCATCGGCATGTACACAAGACATAAGTGTACTCCAAACCGACTTTGGGCTTCGAACGAATCTAGAACGGTCCTTATATAACGTAAACCTTCGTGCGTCGGACTGGCCTGTGCAATCTGTGTAGATAGGGCCAGTTCAGAGGATGTGGAGGGATTGTCTGTTGCATCCCTCGTGAGAACTTTCAGAGTGACGAATCGATTCTTCTGGAACCTCTACCTAACGAAGATATCAGAACAGTCCGACCCGGCATTATTTTGGTCGATGTTACCTTGTTACATCCTGAGCAAGCCAAGTAGTGGATGACCCTCCGAATCCCAATTTCGCCAATACTTTGTATCTTTCGTGGAAAATCTGGCCGATTGACACAGGATAGTAGTTTTCTGGATGGTATCTTGGAAGGGTCTCCTCTTCTATAGGCTCAGTGAACGTCATCGTTAGTCTTCGTCGTCTTGGGGCCAAAATTGCAGCCAGCCCGAAAACAGAGCGAGGAGAACACCGCGAATAGAACTTAGAAGTCGCGAGCATGTCTAGCCATCGAGGGGG